CAAAAATAAACCTACTTGCATAAAGGAATTTGATAATATAGGGGTCTGAGGGCTAAGGAGTAAAGGAAATCCATGAAGATACTTCAGGAGAAAAACTAGCATGCATTTCTCTCTTCTCCAACAGCCACCGTGATTAGCAAGAACTAATAGTGCTCAGAGGAACCTTCAGATTTTGTACACATGGCTCACGTTGGCAAAAACTTAACCTTGACTCAGCAATGAACTGACTGTGACAATACATTAACCAATACAAAACTCTGTATATGGACATATACAATAGAAGTGATCTCTAAACCCTTTTGATATTAAAGTCTAGCTCTTTCCAAACCTGTAAAGAATCCTTGGAGCAGGGGGATTCTTAGAACTGGCTTACATAACACAATAAGCCAAAGAAGAAATCGAGATAATAGTTTGACTATTTGCACATATAATGTATCTTTTATTTTCAAAGAACTATTCTCTTCTCACGGTTAATGGTCTTGGAGATCTATGCCTAAAATAATAGCATCAACCTCAAAAGGCTGTCCAGATTAACTAAGTAAATATATAGACCGTCAAGTCCTTAACCCAGTGCCTAGAGCAAAATAGTCCATCAGTAAATATTTGCTCCATATTGTACTTATATGTGTGTTTATGTGTATGTATGTATATGCATGCATAAACATGTATATGTGTATATTGTATATATAAACATACTATTTTAAGGTAAGGAACACCATAAAATAGGTCATATTTATCCAAGTACTGGTGGCTCACACCTATAATCCTAGCTACTCATGAGGCTGAAAGCTAAAGACTGGTTCAAACCCAGCCTGGGCGGAAAAGTCCATGTAAAAGTGGAAGAGTGGTTTGCATGGTAGAGTGCTAAACTTGAACAAAACCATTCAGGGACAGATCCCAGGCCTTGAGTTCAGAAAAGAAATTAAAAAGAAAACAAAGAAAGCCACACTAGATTCACAGAGACAAGGTCCAGACAAAATCTGCAAAAGTGAAATTCATTTTCACATTACTGAAAAATCTGCTTCTGTTTACCTGCTAAGAATTGAGTTCAAAATGTTATGTATCTTAGGCAGCATTTAATGACAGGGCTAAAGCACAAAAGGTAATAAGAGTGTTTATTCACACAAAGAATGTTATTTTGCAAAATTTTCACATAAAAAAGAAACAAGTAAGTTTTAGAGTAATCAGGTTTTTCTTTCATTTCAAAAGGTAAGTGAAACTGGGGACTCGCATCTGTAATTCCAGCTCCTCAGGAGGCTGAGACCCAAATATGGACATTTGAAGCCAGCCTGGACAGCAAAATCCATGAGGTTTTTCTCTCTCATTAACCAGAGAGAAGCTGAAAGTGGAGGTGTGGCTCCAGCCTTGAGCAAAAAAGCTAAGAGACAGCACCCAGGCCCTGAGCTCAGGTCCCAGAACAGGCACAAACTCAAACCAAAAAACAAACAAGGCAAGTGAATAGGCTAGGATTTTCCAGGACAAGCTTTCACAATTAAAAGCAGTACTGAGTATTCCTGGACATAACTTCTTACCTATCTGTGAGAACCAAAGTGCCAGGTACATATGCTATTTATCGCATAATGGCATTGACACAGAGAAAGAATCTATGCAAAGAAGCAATGCCAGTGAAACATGGGGTGCACAAAGAGGTTCCTTGTCAGCATATCCTCCTCAGAGCAAAATCACAACCTTCTGAGCAAAACAACCAAATCATGAACTTAAAAGAGGAAGGTGACAGGGAAGGAAAGACAGAGAAAAAGGGGGAGCTAATAACTAATAGAGGAGAAAATAGAATCAAAGTACCTTACATGTTTGGGTACAAGTCATAATAAAAACTATTACTATGTATAAATTAATGCGACACTGAGCATGTATGTGTATATGAGTATACATACATATGCACATATACATATGTACACACACATACAAGGGACACTTTTAGTGTTTGTGCCAGTTCTGGGGCTTGAACTCAGGGCTTTGTGTTCTTGCTTGGCTTTTTCTCTCCAGGGGTCCTTTATCACTTGAGCCACCCTTCAGCTCTGACATTTTTACTGATTAACTGGAGATAAGAACCTTACAGATTTGTCTGCCTAGGCTGATTTTGAACCCCAGTTCTCAGGTCTCAGCCTCCTGAGGAGACAGGATCACAGCCATTATCCACAGACATCCAGGAAAGGGTCACTTTCATAAATCATGTTTCAGTGATTAAAAACTGCAATTCATCACTTTTTGGGATTTTTGTTTGTTTTTGTCTTTGCTGAATTAAAAACCTGACTCTATCTGCTCCTCACTGTACTAGCAAAACTTCTAAGTGTATATGTGATAAAAATACGAAAGTAGAGCTTAATTCACAAATAACTTAGAGAAAGATTTTAATGTTACACAATTGCCTCTCTCAATAAAAGTCTAGATGTCTGAAGAAAATCGCATCCAACTCCAATTTTTAAGGGAATGAGACAAAGCAGAATTAAGTGCATGAGTGAATGAAATGATTTCCTACCAGAATAAAGTGATCCTAACATTTCCTTTCTTCCAGAAAGCTCTTGCAGATTTTCCCCAGTCAGGATAGGGTTTATCCTGCAGCATCATATCAGTGACCTGTAGTAATGAGAGAAACTTATTTAGTACTTTGGATATATTAAATTTAGATTTAAATATTCCCTTGTAATTGACCTTCTGAGCAGAATATATGCATATTTTAATATTAGATTAAAATTAGAATATACTTTATTCAATTAAAAACTTCATATTGAAGGAGCACATTGGAGGTCACTCAGTGTGTCAGATACTGAAACTAACTTTTTTAATGTGTGTGTGAAAATACCATACAGAGGGGTTAAAATTACATGGGCAAGGTAATGAGTACATTTCTTATCAAGCATTGTTGCCTCCTCCTTTGTTTCCCCATACCATCCCTTCTCCTCTCCAATCCCTCTCCACGCCCCCCCCCTCCCACCAAAGTTGTAAAGTTTGTTTTTCGACATAACGTCTTGTACATCTCATTGTTGTAATGGGTCCACGTGTAACCCTATTTAAACAGTTTGTTTTTTCCCTTCCCCTCCACAAATTATACCAACATCAAATACAGTGAAAGCAGGGGTTATACCCTGAGGGAGGTACATACAAAGCAACAAAGAAATCATCTTATAAACATGTTCGAAACAATCGCAAGAAAGAAAAAAACATTTGAATCCTTATCTTGAGGTTCATTTCACTTAACATCAACTTGTCTGACAGTTTCTGTTTGTTTCAGACATATACTAGTTATTGCAAATAAGGGAAACCATGGGACCTATGTTTCTTTGGGCCTGGCTTAATATAATTTTTTCCAAGTCTTTCCATTTCCTAACAAATGGGGCAATGTCATTCTTTCTGATGGAGGCATAGAATTCCATTGTGTAGATATACCACATTTGCTTGATCCATTCATCTACTGAGGGGCATCTGGGTTGGTTTCATATCTTAGCTATGGTAAATAATGCTGCAATAAACATAGTTGTGCTGGTAGCTTTAGTATGGTCTTGTTTGTGAACATTTGGGTAAATGCCCAAAAGTGGGATTGCTAGGTCATAGGGGAGCTCTATGTGGAGTCTTTTGAGGAACCTCCATACTACTTTCCAAAGTGGTTGAACAAGTTTACACTCCCACCAACAATGCAGTAAGGTTCCCTTCTGGCCACATCCCCTCCAGCATCTGTTGTTATTAGAGTTCTTGATTATAGCCATTCTAACTGGAGTGAGGTGGTATCTCAATGTTGCTTTGATTTGCATTTCTTTTATGGCTAGGGATGTTGAGCATTTCTTCATGTGTCTATTGGCCATCCTTCTTTCCTCTTCAGAGAAGTTTCTCTTTAAGTCTTTAGCCCACTTACTTATTGGGCAGTTGCTTCTTTGAAGACTTGTTGTTGGGGGATTGAATTTTTTGAGTTCCATGTATATTTTAGATATGAGACCCTTGTCCGTTGTATGGCTAGTGAAGATCTTCTCCCAATCTGTGGGCTTTTTATTGACCTTGATAGCTATGTCTTTTGCCATGCAGAAGCTCTGCAATTTCATGCAATCCCATTTGATTTGTTGTGTTTCTGGGTCTCTATTAAGAAAATTTTGGCCTGTGCCAAGGAGACCTAGGGTTTCTCCTATTCCATCCTGTAATGTTTTCAGAGTGAGACTAACTTTTTCGCATGTGTGCCAGTACTGGGTCTTGAACTCAGGGCCTGGGCACTGCCCTTTAGTTTTCTGGCTGAAGGCTGGTACTCTATCACTTGAGCCACATCTCCACTTTCATCTCTGCTGATTAGTTATAAAAAAAAAAAAAAACAAAAACAGTCTTATCAACTTTCCTTCCTCAGGCTGGTTTCGAATTGCAAGCCTCAGATCTCAGTCTCTTGAGTGTCTAGGATTACAGGCGTGAGCCACGAGTGCCAGGCTAAGACTATTATTAAAATATTAATCAAGATTCAATTTTGTAACAAGACACCTTGAAAAATGACTATCTCCTTAGAAACAGACATACTTAACAAAGTAATATATCAGATTCTTTTTCAGATTGCCTAAATCAGAAATTCCAAATCCAGCTAATTTCTGGTGTGTCTAGGTTGAATCTAGTCTTAACCTTTCCTTTTACTCTTCCTGTTTTCATTCAACTATATGTGTTTTTTGTTGTCAAAAGTCTACTTATCTTTGGTCAAGTAGTATACCAGTGTACAAACAAAACTCTGTATGTGTGTGTGCATATGCATGCACACACGTGCCAGTCCCGGAACTTGAACTCCTGGCCTGGATGTTGTCCCTAAGCTTTTTTTGTTTTTGTATATATTTTTTATTGTAAAGATACTGTACAGAGGGGTTACAGTTACATGAGTAAGGTAACGAGTACATTTCCTATGGAGCATTGTTCCCTCCTCCTTTGTTTTTCCCCTACCATCCTTTCCTTCCCCACTTCCCCAACCGCCCCCCCCACCCACTCCACCAAGTTGTAACATTTGTTTTCAACATAGTGTCTTGTACATCTCATTGTTACAATAGGTCAACCTGTATCCTTATTTAAGCACTGTATTTCCCTTCCCCTCCCCAAATTAGAAAAATAGAAACTTCTCTGAAAAGGAATTAACAATAGCCAATAGACACATGAAAAAATGCTCAACTTCTCTAGCCATAAAAGAAATGCAAATCAAAACAACATTGAGATACCACCTCACCCCAGTTAGAATGGCTATAATCAAGAACTCTAATAACAACAGATGCTGGAGGGGATGTGGCCAAAAGGGAACCCTACTGCATTGTTGGTGGGAATGCAAATTTGTTCAACCACTTTGGACTTTCCTCAAAAGATTCCACATAGAGCTCCCCTATGACCTAGCAATCCCACTTTTGGGCATTTACCCAAACGATCACAAACAAGGCTGTACTTAAAGCTCCCTAAGCATTTTGTTCTAATGAACAGAGTGCTATAATTGAGCCACAGCTCTACTTCTAGCTTTTTGGTGATTAATTGGAGCTAAATGGATTTATCTTCCTGAGCTTACATGAATTGTGATCCCCAATGTCTGACAAAACGTCTTTATTTTTAAGCAGACACACTGAGATTTTTATTTACTTATTCCTCACACTATTTTTTGTCAGTCCTGGAGCTTGAACTCAGGGCCTGGGCACTGTCTCTGAAACTCTTTGTGTTCAAGGCTAGTGCCCTACCACTTAAGCCACAGCTCCTTGTAAACCTCTCTACTTTCTGAGTTGTACCAGTTATGGGGAAGGAAGCTCATTGTTACATTGTTACAGCTCCACATATGTTTACGATTTGCCCCCTCTGGCATACTCCTTGCATCCTTTCTTCTAAAAAAATATCATCCTTAATAGGTTTTATTGTTCAATTTTCATAGTTGCAAATAATCTATTTGGACAGTATTCACCCTTCCAGGCACACCCCCCTCCCGCGTTTCCATACCTACCCAGAGTCTGTTTCCCTTAGCCCCCAGCCCTCTATCAGTCCCCTTGATGTTGAGTTTCTCTGTGCTCCTCCCATGTCTATATGATGCACATTACAGGGTTATTTGCTCTTTTTCTCTCTCTTTCTCCACCTCTCTTACAAAACTGAACTGTTGCACAGCACTTAACATCCAGTGTCTCGGTGCATATATTCTCAGGAGTTGTCATCTGGGAGGGCTGCTTGTGTGACTCAAGCAGTAGAGTACCTTCCTGGCATCATCCTCCCATTCCACATCCTGTGTCTTCTTCCAAAGATATCCTGTCCTGCTGGCTCTGCATGCTCAGGCTCTGCCTATTTTCTGAAGCGTAAGCACGGTCGCCATTGTGATATCTCCACTGTTCTTTCTGCTAGTGAACGACCTATCTTTCTCCTGTCATGTATCAGTTTCTGTCTTCTATTTTATTTACTGCTCTACTACTTTATTTGCTATTTTATTTCCTAACAGGTTTTGATGTCCCTGAGGATGAAGATTTATTCGTGTATCCATTCTAATATCTATGGATCTTTTAAATGGTAGACAAAAAATATACTCTAACAAATGATGAAATGAATTAGGATGCAAACTCTCAATTTTACAGACCCATTAACAAAGTGAATTGCCTGTTAGCTGTGTCATGAATTAATGGTCTCAATACCAAGCCTCAAAAAAAAGTCATATGGGATAAGAAAAAATTAAATAAATTTCCTTCTTTTTCCAAAAAAGGAGGACATGTTGATGCATGTGTGTGCATGCACACACACACACACACACACACACACACACACACACACACACATTCTGTTTCCAGGAAATCCACCTGCCCTTTAAAAGTAGAAAATATTATTCAAATCATTATGACCTTAATTAATAATGTTCAAATTCAGACCCACAAAGCAGATTCAAAATTAAGCAAACCTATATAGAATGAGGTAGACTACATTGAGGGGAAATTTTTATTACCTATATATATATATATACTTTTAATATTACCTACTAAATATATACTTTTCTTTTACTCTTAAAGCTTTAGCATTCCATTTAAGTGAAGTAAGCCAGACTCAGACAAAGGATGCATGTTTTCTCTGATATGTAGAAGTTAGATCTAAATTAATAAATATAAATATGAAAATATATACAGGGACATATGCAGTTATACACAAATAAAGTGACTGAAGTATGGTATATGCAGGTGTGGGGTACAAAGGTAGAACTCTTATTAGTAACTTAATTATAGATTAGCAAAACAAATGCCAGGAAGCTGTAATTGTGTCCTCAGAGGTGGGCAAGGTAAAGAGAAGAGGGGACAGATGAATGGTAAGAAGAAGAGTAGCTAAAACAGTCACCATAGTCAACACACAAATGTAAAAACGGGGCCAGTTAACTTCAGGAGATGAATGGATTTGGGAGAGGTGGAAGGAATGACACTGATCAAGATACATTGTCACCAGATGCCAGTGGCTCACACCTGCAATCCTAGCTACTCAGGAGGGTGATATCAGAAGATAAGGGTTTAAAGCCATCCTAGGCAGCAAAGTCCATAGGACTCTGATCTTCAATTAACCACCCAAAAAAAGCCAGAAGTGGAAGTGTGCTTCCCTTGAGCAAAAAAGCTCAGGGACAGTGTTCAAGCTGG